TACCTACCTCGAAAGGATGGAAGGATGGAATCACATGACCCCGGGACTCTGCAGCCATCATAAATATGAGCCAGTTGCCAAACATGCAGATTTTGATCATGTGACCATGGGATGTTGCAATGGTAGTAAGAGTGACAAACGATTGTAAGACATTTTTTTCCCGCATCGTTATAACTTTGGTCGCTGAAATATATGGTTGTAAGTTGAGGACTATCTGTAATTGGTGCTTATTTCAGGTAGGCTGCTATTCCAAGAAGAAGGGCAGTTAGATTTTCACTTAAAGATAAATTAAAAGTAAAATATAGTTCAGATGTATATTCTAATCTATACATATTCTATGGTCACATATTTTAATGATTGCTTTTGCCCTATTAAGAATTTCAACTTATGTATCATTTTTATCATGCCCTGGGATTCTGCAAGCAACATTTTAAGGTCCATATACAGTATTCTTCCATTGTAGTCTGTTTAATTATTGCTGTTGTCAAGTTAAGGCTGGAAAACTGCCCATCTGGAAGTATGGAGAGCTGTTCTCCTTCAAGATGGACAAGAGTTGGCTGGATAGATATAGAATGTGACTCAGTGAAAGGCAGCTACTTACATTTTAAGTAAATCATCAAACTGATGGTATCTGGATTTCAGACCCAAATCTAGATATCAGGATCTGTCAAAGAGGATGGAGAAAAGAATAAGATGATAATTACTTAAGATGGTTGGAAAGCATAACTATACATTTTCTTGTCTTTTCATTCCTTTTCTTTTTTAATTTTTCTTACTTTCTTTTTTGTTTTGTTTCAATACTTTCACGGTATTGAAAAATGCACCACACACATACTGTGTATGTTTTGAAAAGATTCAAAAACACAAAGTAGAATAAGCTCTAGGCCAGTGATGGCTAACCTTTTTGCCATCGCATGCCAAAAGCGTGGGGTCATGTAGGGGGGGTCGTGCAAGTGCGTGACCACACCCATAATTCAATGGGCCCCGCCCCCACCGTACATGCGCACGTGACCCCGCACTCCCACTTTTGGTATATGATGGCACAGTGGGCCTGGTAGGCGTGTTTTTCGCTTTCCCCAGGCTCCAAAGGCTTTCTTGGAGCCTGGGGAGGGCGAAAATGGCCTCCCCCCCCGAGGCTCTCTGGAGGCCAGAAACAGCCTTTTTTCTGACTTCCAGTGGGCCTGGAAGGCCCGAAAATCAGGTGGCTGGCGCTGAACTAGGGCAATGCTCCCATGCCCACAGATATGGCTTGTCACTGCGTTTTTGTATTTACCAGATGAGCTCATATTTCTGGACTGTCAGACTTTCCGTAGCTTGCCAACTCCTTATCTCTGATCCACTGCGCATGTCCACATTCCTTCACTTTCTTCTAACTTTCTTTGTTCTCCTGCCAAGAGGTCTGGCCGCAGAGAGGTGGCCGGCAGGAACTTTGCCAAAATGTAATTATTTAGATAGTAAGATGTTTTATTTTCTTTATAACAAATAAATGAGTTTTTCTTAGAAAAATATATCTTCGGGTTTATTTTCTTGCAAAAGTATGCTTCAAGGGAAAGGTCACAATCCACGTCTCTAAATCAAGGTGCGATTACCCAAAAGCAGAATGGGATTAATTAGCACCCTGACATGGCTCCGTGTGCCACCTGTGGCACGTGTGCCATAGGTTCACCATCACGGCTCTAGGCAAAGAATAAACTGGAATGAGAAATGCCAAGCAAATTGGATGAAATTTTCTCCCAGGCCAAGTTTAACCTGAGATCTTTCTGATCAAATAAGAAGAAAGGTCCTTTCCCCCCAAAGATTACCATTTCAATTCAACAAATATAAGGTAATATTATGAAGAATGTGTAATATGCCACATTCTTGGTTTATTTTCTTGCAATAAAGAAGCGTTTAAAAATGAAGTCAGTGGGAGGAGGCTTGGCCAACATCAACAGAGATCACTGCTAGAATGTTGGTGCCCACAAGCACCAAGTAAATATATCGTTGGTTGTTGCAATTTACTAAGCTGGTTCAACTGATGTAACCATGCTATAGCCATTTCTGGTTTTCCCATGTACCCTTATGATTAATTTTTCCTTATGTAAAAAGTACAGCTATTATGATTGAGGCTCAGTTGACTTGGATCTAATCCTTGAACATGATTGATGATCTCCACAAGGGAAAATTTAAGCCACTTAGAGACCTGTCAGATTTCTCTTAAAATAATAACAATACCTTCCAGAAAGGTAATATAAATTTTCAGATTTCTGTGAAGTAGTACATTCCGCTTAGATTTACTACTGTACTGAAATGTCTGAAGCTGTTCCTGTTGATTATTTCCATTCCTGAGACTGAAATACTTACTCGTTTTTGTAAACACTAGGCATTCAAAAGCTCTTCGTTTTTAACTCTGGATAAGATTATTAAAGTCCTTTGGTGGCAGGATATTGCAAATAATGTTGTAATTCCAGACTTGTTAGCACTTCCACGAGAGAATTATTCTTGGCTGGAGCTGACGTGCAAACCTATTTTAATAAACATATTGGAACATGTTTATTCATTTCCGTGAATGGTGGAGGAAAAGTATTTTTGTTAACTCCTCGTGTTTTTATTGCCTGTTGGGCCAAGAACCAATTCCACCATCTGCTAGGCTTACAAATGCCTGAAGGTTCTTGACTGTGGCTATGCTACTGGGTTAATTTTCACCTCTCCAGACTGCTCTAGAACTGTAATTCTAGGACGTGAACAATAGGCTTCTATGAGAGAGTTCTCAGCCAGTAATTAAACTAAATTTCCCAGGATCCAATTTGGGAAACCTTAAAAATTAATCTGCAAATGTTCTTTTGGCTTTCTGAACTCATAAATCAAAGTCTTCTTTGCAAAACAAATAAATAAATAAACAGCAAGGGAAAATGTGCCTGGAATTTCCCTGTGGAATCACGCATCTCCTTTCCTTGGTTTCGAGGGACTTCAGTTTGGCAGACTTTGATGCAATGGACAAAATCTGTTTTTGCAGCTTTATGTTTCTGCACGTATGGAGAATACACATATGGAAAATCTTATTCGGTAGCGGTAGCCATTCTGCTTTAACACCACTTCTAGTAGTCTGTTAAAGCGATGGTTTACTGACTTTGTTCTTTCAGAAGGAATTACTTTCTCTACTTTACAAAGGAAGATGCTAAAACTGCAGCCCTGATACTGTACGTATGAATAGAAATAGAAATATTCACAAATGAATATTTCGAATAAAAAAAATGCTGCAAGCTGCAAAGCACCCTCTCCTTTTCAAAAGCATTTCCTCTCTCTCTCTCTCCCTCCCTCTCCCTTCCTCTCTCTCTCCCTCTTCCCCTCTCCCTCCCTCTCTCTCCCTCCCTCTCCCTCTCTCCCTCTCTCTCCCTCTCGCCACTCTCTCTCTTCCTCTCTCCCCCTCTGTCCCTCTCTCCCCCTCTCCACTCTCTCTCCCTCTCACTCTTCCTCTCTCTCCCTCTCTCCCTCTCTCCCCCCTCTCTCCCTCTCTCTCTCTCCCTTCCTCTCTCCATTCTCTCTCCCTCTCTCCCTCTCTCTGTCTCCCCTCTCCCTCCCTCTCTCTCTCTCCCTTCCCCTCTCTCTCCCTTCCTCTCTCCACTCTCTCTCCGTCTCTCTCTTCCTCTCTCCCCCCCTCTCTCTCCCTCCCTCTCTCCCTCTCTCTCCCTCTCCCTGAACCTGTACTGGATTGCCTATAGTTTTTGTGACAAGAGTTCAAAAGTGGTTTGCAATTGCCCTATTCCTAGGGCTGACAGAGAGTGACTGGCACACCTAGCAGGCTTCATGCCATCTTGGTCTCATGGTTTATACCACTATACCACATTGGCTCTTTAAAAAGCATTCAGGTGCTTAAATTTTTTTTAAAATAGATGGCGTGGATTTGGGTGAGAGAAAGTAGCTGGCTCATACTTACCCAGCTAGCTGTCATGCTCAAGGGAGAACTAAAACGCCTCCCAGTTTTTAGCGTAGCACCTTAATCACACTAATTTTCCAGAGAAGAGTGTAAAGATGAGCTTTATCTTCATGGTGAGGTTCTCCTAGGGCTAGAATGCGTAGTCTGGCACAACTTACCACTTCAGTTTGTGTGAAATGCATATTTAATGACTTGCCATTAGAGTAGCTGTATTGTGAACAGATAAAACAAATACATTTGATGTTCTCCATAATAACGTTTTAAAGCTCCAGAGGTGCTCATCAATCCTAAAATGTTGGAGAATCATGGATGAAAATTAGACCATTATATCTGTTACTTTGGGATCCACTAGATCTTTTATTTCTGAGTTTAATTAATGAGAGGAAGGATGAAGACTCAAGGTTCCTCCTGATGTCCTTCATAGGTTGAGTGATATTAGCTTCAGAAGCAGGAAGTCCTTTTTGGCCATTGATATCTCCTTTATTTATTTATTATTTATTTATTTTATTTTATTTTATTTGTATACCACCCTTCTCCAACAGGACTCAGGGCGGTGAACAGCCACGGTGAAACACAACATATAAAATTTAAAAGCAGTTTAAAAGACATTAAATAATTTTGGCCATCAATTTAAAACCACCCAGTTAAAACCAATTACAAATTAAAACCGCAAGGATGGGGTCAAGCCAGCCCGGCTAGATGAAATAGATGTGTTTTCAGGGCCCGACGAAAAGTCCGGAGGTCTGGTATCATGCGTATCTCTGGGGGTAGGTCGTTCCAGAGGGTAGGTGCCACCACAGAGAAGGCTCTCCCCCTGGTCACTAGCCAACATTGTCTGGCCGACGGCACCCTGAGGAAGCCCTCTCTGTGTGAGCGAACTGGCCGGTGGGAGGCTATTGGCGGCAGAATGAACATATGATGGGGAAAATGAGAAATTTACATATTTGACAATATGCATGCAAATCCCAAAATACAACGGAGCATTCATCCTTTCCAGTTTGCAGTGTAAACACAATTTCCAGTTTTCAGGGTAAACACAAATCAACAACAGTTGATTTTCAATGCGATATCATTTGTTTCACAGGCTCAGGCTGCATGAAGAGAAAATTATTAAGGACCGAAGACACCACCTGAAAACTTATCCGAACTGTTTTGTTGCCAAAGAATTGATTGACTGGCTGATTGATCACAAAGAGGCCTCTGACAGGGAGACAGCAATTAAACTCGTGCAGAAGTTACTGGATCGTAGCATTATCCATCATGGTAAGTGAAAAGAATCAATGTTCTCAAGCTGTTATCTAGAAATGCTAGTTAGGGCTTCTGAAAGAGCTCAGGATACATTGAGTGCTGTGGTTTGGGAATATAACATGAAATCACAAAACTTAAATAAAAAACATGGAGTGTTTCATCCCGATTTCCTGTGTTTTATGTTTCAGTTTGTGATGAGCATAAGGAATTCAAGGATCTCAAACTTTTCTACCGCTTTAGGAAAGACGATGGGACGTTCCCACTTGACAACGAAGTGAAGGCTTTCATGAGAGGACAGAGAATATACGAAAAGTATGTTCCACACACAGTAGGTGAAAAGGGACAGCCAGTTTTTTCCGCTGTTCTCCTTGTGTTTTTGATGTTCCGTTATGGGTGTTGTGACATATCTAGGCAAAAGATCATGGCCCTTTTCGGAGAGAAAAACGTTGGGACCAATACTTGAAAAAACACAGCCAATATAAAGCAAATAAGCATCCAATGACAATATATCAGACTTGGAAGGGACCTTGGAGGTCTTCTAGTCCAACCTCAGCACAAATGCCTCAAATCAAATCAATCAATAAAAATAAGTTACGGGGGTGGCAAAATCAAGCCTGATCACTAGCGGGAATGGAATATAGTGGAACATAGGTCTAGTTATACTTGTTGCTTGTCGTCCATCAGTGTTGCTCAATGGGTTTGTTCAATGTCTATGGAGATTCTCAGTCATCCTGGTCATGGTTGTCTCAAAGATACTTTTTCAAGAGGCAATGGGACTTTCTGGTTTTTCTTTGAAGACGTTTCGCTTCTCATCCAAGAAACTTCTTCAACTCTGAAGAAGCTTCTTGGATGAGAAGCAAAATGTCTTCAAAGAAAAACCAGAAAGTCCAGGGGTGAAATGTAAAATTTGTTACTACCGGTTCTGTGGGCGTGGCTTGGTGGTGGTGGTGGTGGTAATGTGACTGGGTGGGCGTGGCCAACTTTTTTTTTTTTAATTTTTCAAAGCATTTTTTCTAATGCTTTGAAAAGCCTTTGCCAATCAGGAAACATCAGAGAGGCATTTAAAAAAATATCTCTCTGCCGATCAAGAAACTCAGCTGGGATCATCAGGGACTTTTCAAAGCATTTTTTTTACCACCTCTTCGGCCAAGAGGTTGCAGAAAAAAATGCTTTGAAAAGCCTCTGACGATCCCAGCTGAGCCGCGCGATCATCAGAGGCTTTTGTTTTTTACTTTTAAAAGCATTTTTTCGTCGGAAGAGGTTATAGAAAAAATGCTTTTAAAAGCAAAAAAAAAGCCTCTGATTATCCTGCGGCTCAGCTGGGCATGGGGGGGGGAGCAGGGATTTTTGCTACCGGTTTTCCGAACCACCCACCGCCATCGCTACCGGATCGGGCGATCTGGTCCGAACCGGGAGCATTTCACCCCTGAGAAAGTCCCATTGCCTCTTGAAAAAGCACCTTTGGGATGATGGGTTTGTTCATTTCCTGGAGCTTCTCAGAGAATGAAGGCACCTCCTTGGATTGATAGACAAGAAGATAGAGTTAATTCTACGTAACAGGTAAATTGCCTGTCATCCAGAGCATAAACAGGCATCTACAAAACTACCCTCTGGAACACTAGGAAATGCCCTAGATCTGTGATGGCGAACCTATGGCACGCATACCACAAGTGGCACGCATAGGCTTCTCTGCCGGCACGTGAGCCCTCCCCCCAGCTGAGCTGTATATATATCCAACAGGAACAAGAGCAGATAAAGGTAAATCCTAGAGAAGCAGGAAATGCATCACTGAACAATAGAGATGAATGCTAGAGAGGAATAAAGCTGCATACAAGGCAGACATAATACCTGTAACAGTGTAGGCATACGGGGGGGGAGTGTGGGGGGGTGCGACTCCCCACCCCCCCATATTTTTGGTCCTAGGAGGCTTCAGGGAGGCCTGCTAGGCCCAAAATGGGGCACAGGGGGGTTGCGTGCGCATGCACGGGGGCAGGGAGAGTCCTTGCGGGGGTGGTGGCGCATGGATGCTCGGGGGGGGGTGTCGTGCGTGTATTGTATTATGGGTGTGGGCACGCATGCGTGCGCTGTTGTGTGCGCACGCTTTCGGCACACAAGGGCAAAAAGGTTAGCCATCATTGCCTTAACTATTCACGTTTTCTGAATAGATTTTATCCAAGAGCTATAATTATTTATTATTTATTTATTAGTTCAATTTATATGCCGCCTTTCTCTGGAGATTCAGGGCGGCTTACAATGCATTTAGAAAACCATTATAAAAACATTTAAAAATTAAAACATTAACACCCATTCACACCATTCATGGCCGGATCTCACAAGATCGCAACAGCGAGATCAATGGCCCCAGGTCTGCCGGAAAAGCCAGGTCTTCACCGCTTTTCAGAAGGCCAATAGGGTGGGGGTGATCCGGATCCAGGAGGTAACTGGTTCCAGAGAGCTGGGGCAGCCACAGAGAAGACCCTCCCCTGCGGACCCCCCAGCCGACATTGTTTAACTGATGGGACCCGGAGGAGACCAACTCTGTGGGATCTTACCGGTCGCTGGGAGCTATGTGGTAGAAGGCAGTCTCGAAGATATTGCACTCAACAATGCACTCAACAATGAACTAAAGGGCCGCCATCAATGAGCTGTTGGACAGCATTACTTGGTCTGTTGTGTGGATATTTGGGTGGTTTAGAGGTGGAGAATTGTGGTGGGTGGAAGTGTGTTTGGGGATTGTTATGTGTGTTGGACCTGATCTTTGGGTGTTAAGTGAATTTCGTTGTATGGGTATACTGTGTATACACGTACAATGACAATAAAGTTATTTGTTTATTTATTTATATACTTTGGAAACTCTCTGGATTCATCAGGGACCTGGGGTGGGACACCTTTAAATGGCCCATTATTCCTACAGCAGCTGGTAGCTCCAATTAACCGCATGATCATGAGGAAGCAACCTGTCCATCTTTAAAACCCTAAGTGGATTCACACCTGCATGCTAGAGCATTATTATTGCCGACTGGGTGACTTCACCACCAGATGTCCCTCTCATGGCTTGACCGACTGACCACACAAGACCTATAAAAGCAGAAGAGAACTGAAACAAGACACTTCAACCGAAGTTCCACTGATGATGTTACCAAGCTTGGTGATAAAACGTTCAAAAACTAAACAACAAGCTCAGAGAACAAACCACCACCGACATCTACCACATGAGCGACAAATATTTTCCACCATTTCTAATGTTTTGTGATGTTTAAAGGTTTTTTCATTCTTTTTAGCTTATCGGCATGTTTTATTACTTGGCAGCTTGTATATAAAATCATTCTGAGTTGCTGGTTTGGTTTGGGAAAAGCGGGGTTAAGTAGCATCTTCTATATCTAAAAGAATTAATATACACATTTCTCATTTAATTGTGTGACTTTCATCCTGTCCCAACTCTTCAGGGTTTCCCCCCTCCCCCAAGAGAAATGTTATGCTAACAAACTAGCAAAGGTTATGGAAGATAAATCCACAGCATATCATTAAGATTCAGAACAGAACAGAAAGTTGCATGGGAAATATTGAATGTCATGCTATATTGTTTGGGTCAAATAACAATGGAAGTAAATCATACTCTCTGTTCACAATAAGAGGCATGTAATTTTTGCTCAAGCTTTGCAGCTTGCTCGGAACATGGGTGCTGACATTTACTAGCAGTTGACATTTACTAGATCTGAGTAGTACAAAAGGTGAACCATTGTGTAATTGGGCAAATTAAATAGGAGGCTTTGGGACAATGCTCCCAATCTGAATAAGCAAAGGTCGCTATTTATGAGGCACCTTATAGAGGGGAAAAAAAGTTGCATTTTGATCAGTGGTGGGATTCAGCCGGTTCTGTTCAAGCGAACCGGTAGCGGCGACTGCGGTAGGTCCCACCCATCCGCCCAGATGTAATGCCGTCCTATTTCGTCATGTTTTGGAGGCCATACGCATGCGCGGAAGGCACACACGTGAGCAAAGAGCATGCACACAAGGCCAAGCATGCATGGAAGGTTGTTGCACACGGGTGAAGCAAGCGCGCACACACATTTGCGAACCACTAGAGAAGGTAAATGAATCCCACCTCTGATTTCGATTTGTATCTGTTGTAGATGATGGTATTATCATGTCAACATTAAGAAGAAGGGAGATGGAAACTGTACAGATTGTACATAGTGATCGATGAAGGGTTGCTTTTAATGTCTTCCAAACATTACTTACAAATTGAAGTGTAGCTGTTTTTGTTTAAATGTGGATAAGAACATGTGGGAGGTGCCATTAAAGATGAGGTGCCAGGAGCCCTTGAAGATGGTGGTCAGTGATTGATGACGATCATCCTTTTATGATACCTAAACAAGGTTTATCCTAATTATTTTATTAACTCTTCAAATAGCTCAAAAGATACTAGAAGTAACTCCCTTTTTATGTGGTAGTCCCTATTTGGGGTAGAGTCAGGGCGACTGGATGGAGCTGCTGAGCATTTACTGGCTGGATTCCCTTCCTGATGCCCACCCACAGTTTGCAGCAAATGTTTGTTCTTTGCATCCTAAGAGAGAATCATCTGCCGTTACCTAGGATTGAACTCTCAACTTTCCAAGTGGGAAGTCAGCATCTTCACCACTAGGCCACCACGCTGCTCTCAAGAGATAATATGATGTCAAACACCACTGAGAGATTTATCAGGACAAAGATGACCAGAGAGAAAGAGAGTTAAAATGAAGCTGGTATTGTTAATGATCAAACACGTTGTGAATTATTTTTCTAATACTTTAAAAATCTGCAAAGCCTGCCTGATCAGAATGCTAATAGAAGAAATGAAAGTCATGGTTTGTTCTGAGATTACTTGATTCTTTTTGGAATCCTATCCAGACCTCCAGGAATGGCCCTGTGGTAGACATATGTTTATCCTCTGCTTCTTTTCAGTTGTTCTTCCTTTCTTTTTTTTAAATGCCTTGCGGCTGATTGTGTTTACAGTAGCCAATAAAACAATTTGTTCTTAGTGTTCCTAGCGCAAGAGATACCAAAAATGAGAAGGCCTGCTGTGTTTTTGCTACTCTGTTGTAAGCCACAAAGAAGAAATTGTTTAACAAATAAGAGGGAACTGGGAAGCTTCATGGCAGCGATTCGAGTCAGATGTTCCAACTTGTAATTTTTCCTAAAGGAGATTTGGAAGATGCTCTTTGCCCCGATGATGGAATATAAACAGACACTTTTAAAGTGTCTTGTTCCTACCTCCTTGAAAAAACAGAACTTTATATAGTCCACCCCAACCACAGCAATTTCTAACGTAT